CTAGCCCCCTTGGCCTTCCATCGAGCCTCCCTTTGGCCCTGGATTCCGTTCCACACAACCCATAATCAACAAGAGCCGATTGGGCTGGACCTTGTGACGACGGCTCCATACTCTCGACTTTATCGCTGGATCCAAGGTCGCACCCAAAGCTGCCACCCAGCACGAACCACGAGTCCCAAACCAACCGCATCACCTCCCACGGCGTCACAACCCAGCGATGATGGGCCTTTCAAGGCCGTCGCGGGCCGCAGCAGCGTCCCATGGCGAAACGTCAGCTCCACCGTCAACGCCCAGGAGAGCAACCCGCCGAGCATCAGCACCACCAACACCGCCGCGACGGCCTCACGCCCATCCGAGCCCCACCCATCTTCGTGCACGTCGATCGCCCGGGCTCCAAAACCATGTGCCGCAAACGTGCACCTGGTGGGAGAAAACGGGGTCAACGCCCCTTACACATGACTGCCCTTACATAGCCGCGTACGCAGTGTCACTAATCACTCACATAATGACCCTCATCTGGCGCACCCATGTATCCTTTCATTGTCCACACACATCATCGTCACAGTACCGTGACGCTGCCATGATCGAGGCAAGGCGAGGGCGGAAATGCGGCCATTGTTGGCCAGTCTCTGTGCCGGCTTCTCACCCACTGTGCAACTATCTTGATGAATGCACATAAAGGGGGGATCAGTGGCAAGAGTGTAGCTCACCCCATTCTTCAAACCACCTACCCACAAAACATATGACCCACGATCCAATGCAGAAGGGGGATGGTGCATGGTGAATCGTAGCCTGCCTGGCTATCTGCTAGAACTTGAAAGCCCCAGCTGCAAGTGTGTGGAAGTCGCCTGACGGATAGAGGAGCAGCCTTGTTGCTTTGCACATTAGCGTGGTGCATGGATGCGTGGCGTTCATGGTGGCTTGTGCAGTGCAGCTGCAGGTGCTGAACCCACTTCAAGCAAACGACCCTGAAGGTATCATTTGAAATGCACCGGCAGCATAACGCAACACCCCGTGTCTCTTCCCCCGTGAAGGTACGCCTCGCTCCCCGCCCGCAGCGCACACCAGCCCTCCTACCCACCGCGCCGCGGAGCGACCTACACTGCCCAGTACATTATGCGCATACGTCCCGATGTGCGTACATGCGCATGCATATGTACATACAGCGATGCAGGCGGATTAACCCGTCTCCGGGCCCTGGGTCCCGTCAAACGCCACTGCCACCCATCACTGGCGCCCATCGCCGCTGCCGTCCCGCAGCCTCGACTTTTCTACGCGCCGCGGTCGCGGCAGCTCCGGTCCGCCCGGCAGGAACCGGCCCCGGAATAAGGGGGGGAACTTCTGGAGATGGCGGTGGGCGCGCTGGGCAGAATGGGGTCAAGGTGCTGCGGAGATGCCAGGGCTGGTATTGGTGGGGCGTGCATGCGGCATGCAGTGGAGTTGGACGTGCGTCTGGAATGTGCGTGCGATCCCGGCCTTGCCCGTGGGCCTTTCCCGTGTTTTTGTGTGTGCGGGGGGGAGTGGGGTGGGGGAAGGTGTCCCGTGGCTGTTGGCCAACATGTGTGAGTTGCGGGTAGCGGTGATCGCGCCGATGTTGGGCGAGATTAAGAAACGGAAAGGGGTTTGGATTGGGACCCTCGACGCCGGCACTCGGGGGCTGGATCGAGAACGGGGCCGGCGATCTGGCCGGTCTGGGCGGGGAGCGCGCGGTCGGGGCGCTGCGTGTCGTAGCCCGGATGGATGCAGTTGCGACCGGACGGCCGTCCCCGTGTGGCTCTCTTCGTGACCTTTCCGCGGGGAGCTGCTCGCGTCCGCGGGCGGCGCCTTTCGACGGGGCCAGGGCGACTTTTTCCGAGAGCCACTCTGAAGATTCTGCCTCCTGGCGCTGGCGAAGGGCGTCGAGAACTGGGCGCTGGGGACGTGTCAGCCTGCCGGCGCGGCCGTCGTCGACCCTGATGTCAATGCGATTGCGGCACAGCTGGTGGGGACCCGATGGCCCAATGTACGCCGTTGTAGGATTCGCGCAAGGGGAATTGTGACGTCAAGCGCATGACGCGCCGTGTCAAAAAGTCGAGACGGAACGCCTCAAGCTGCAACCGCGCAGGGAGCCCGCCCTCGCCCGTCCCCATGGCTTTGGGACGGACAGTAAAGTAAGGTAAAGTACTGGTGGGCGAAAAAGTGGTGTTGGACAGCGGCTTGTCTAATGTACTGGAGCGTCGCTGAGCTCAGCGAAGGGGGAAGGGGCGGTACTTTGGCCTCGACGGTCTCCGGCCGATGTGGCGGGCCGCGGCGCCAGCGCGACAGGCAAGGCGGCTCCCGCGCAACGGGATGGGCGGCGGAGGCGAGGAGGAGGCTCTTGAGCCGGGCGGGCCGGCGTGGCCGGCGTCACGCGCCGGTGCGGTTCGCGCGAAACGTCCGCCAGAACTGACACTCCGAGTCTGGGTCGGGAATTGGGATGCTGTTCGCGCTGATTGGGACGGGGGACGTCGGTGGCCGGGGACGTGCGGCGCGGCAGCTTGCTTTGTGCGGAGTGGAAGGGGCCAGGAGTGGGCTGGGACGGCCTCTCTGGGAATTCTGTTCACGGGGTGGGGAGGGGGGAAAATGCATACTGTGGGTGACGGCAGGGCGGGCGATCTGGACGGCACCTTCGCTGGCGCCCATCGAAAGCCATCCCCCTGCCTGGGGGCCTCTGCGAATGCCCCTTTGCCTGCTCTGGACCGGTGGGGTCGGGCGCGCTGTTGATCTTTGCGGGATCTTTCTTGCGGGCGGATTCGTTCTCGTGCGCCCCCTAAGCATGCCATCAGCGAGCTCCCGAGCGCCAAACATTTGTGCACGCTGTGCATTTTGTAATGTCGTGCGTTGTGTCCCTGGGTGCGTTTGCCGAGCAGGCTGAAGGGGCCTGGCACCGCCGCGCCGCAGCGCGCCCGCGCACCCGGCGCCGGGGGCCCGCGGCCTACCGGTTGATCGTTTGACTCGGTCAACGCGCGGCCATTGACAGGCTGACTTGGTCAGCGCCACCGCGGCGTGGCAGCCACCGCGCGCTGGTGAATTTCGCGTTTGGGCGAGGGTCGGGCTCTCGAGCGCGTGCCAAGTAGCGGAGGTCGGGAGGGAAGGTGGTGGTGTGTGTGGGGGGGAGCTGTGTGTGTAATCGTCGAGGGGGCCCCGTTCACATGATGATAGATGGAATTCCATCATGATGATGATGATGACTATCGCGCTGACCGGTCGCGCTCGGTCCGCACTCGGTCGCTCCCAGGCACGAGAAGCAAGACCGTAACCAGATACCTGCGAACATATTCATTCCATTCCCCTCCCATTTATCCATGTATATGTCACCATAACACCATCGCCATATACACCGTACCACATTTCACCATGTAAAAAGGCGGGGACAATTGGGAAGACCAACACTATGGCTGGAAAGTGTGGCACAAGATTCAGTACTTTATAGTACTCAATTGACCATTTCTTCCGTCAAACAGCGTTACCGGATACCGCTTTCTGGACGTGCTTTCTAAATAGGGGTGCATGGCAGAGGTAGGACAGCCCGCCCGGCGACAGGCGGTCACAATTTGCCGGTCGCGAGTCAAAAGCGATGGCACGATTGGGATTGGCCGCACGCCGGCCATGTCATCACAAGCTGCAACCCGCCTGCTGATTTCGTTAGCAGACCAAATGCGCCGCAGCTTCGGTAAACGAAACATTTTGCAATCGCAAGGCTGAGTGATCGAAGACCTTTTGCTTTTGTGCCTATCCTTGGACGAATGTCGACTCGTGAGATCCAGACTAGCAGACAATAATAACAACAACAGCATTTTTGCGATGCCGGCTGCGGTGCCTTTTGGCACTAATCGATGCCATGATAGCTGCTTCGATGCCATCGCAACAACAGCAAAATAGGAAGCTGACGGCTACCTCATTGCCTTGTTCTGCAAAAAATCATGATGATGATGATGAAAAGAAATGCAGAGCAGAAAATTCACGGTAAAAATGCTTGATGCGGAAGGTTTGGATATACTGCAATATTGTGAGACCTTTCGGTGCACGAAAGGCGGTTTCTATTCCGACTTTACCCCGATTCTAACTCTATGGCAGACTGAATCTATGCTGACTATAATTCAACTTTATTCTCACTCTATTTCTGGCCCTGTTTCTGTGTTCCTTGACGTTGTTGGGCTGGATTTTGGCAACCACTGTGAAATCAGCGCAGACCGCTAGCAAGGGGACGCCGTTTCACTGTCTCAGTTCAGCGGAGACGCGTGATATGACAAATGTGTCGATTTTTTCACTTTGCATGCAAGGATGCTCACTCCCTCACTCCACTATTTCTGCTTCTATTTCTGACTCAACTCTATTTATTTCAAATCCAATTTTATTTATTTCATTCTATTCTGACTGGTGCCGCGCGACGCAGGCACGTCTTCGTCCCACCCGTTCGCGCTGTGCGGTCCCTTCCACAGGAGGTGGTCATCCAGGGGCCGCCGGAGATCGACCAATCTGCAATCATGCGCCAGCTGGGCCTCCGCGCTCATCCACGGAGGTGCGGCACAACCGGCCGGCGATCTTGCCGCCAGGGCGTCGTCCTTTGGCACGGTCTGATTCCAGTGATTGCATTAAAGTGGCCCGTCGGGGGCACGCAAATTTGGATAAGTTCCACTTCGCGATGTTTGCTTCCGTGCGGTGGATCAACGGCGTGATTTTGCAGCGTTAGTTCAGGCATTTTGATGGATCGCATCGCTTTTTCTTTGATTCGAAACGTAGTTTAGGTAATTATGGGCTTAATTTCTTCTTTGAAATCCAATTTAAACACAATGTCGGCCTAATTGCTCGTTTCAAAACCTAATTTGGATGCAATGTCGGCAGAATTGGTTGTGTGAAGTCCATGTTGGACCCAACATCAGCGTCGTTCTTTGGGCGTGCATTGCACGGACACCGCTGTGCTTGCGTCATCAGGGGTGCAACGAAAATTCGATGACGACAGAGCGCTGCCCGAGGTCGTCATGATGGACCCTCCGTGCCTGGTGGCTGGGCGAGAATGCAGCCTGGAGGTGCATTTCTGTCGCGAGGTGGTGGTCAAAAATATGGAAGTGACGAGGGACGGGGAGTCAGTGAACGCCAGGAGGCGCCAAACGAAGAAGGGAAAGAAGATAAGGTGCGAATGGGGGGACTATTCAATACTAATATCTTATGGCATTGGGAATATTATTAAGATATACTGAGAGGAGTGAAGCAAAGTTGTTAAGTACTAGAAGTAAAGTAAAGGCGTTTAAGGATAAAAGATATAAGTATGAGAAGTAAAGGAGCTGAGTATGGTTGTGCGAAATGTTAAAATACCGGATGCAGCGATGAGAGGGCCGACAAACTGGCAGTGACGCTCGTGTCCACTGGTTTGGGGCCATCAGGCAGCCTAAGTTTATGGACAGACCAATGTAAATTTTTGCTGTTTAACACTTGTTTTGCTTAAGTAGTTAAGTACTCCCATGGTTCCCATTGGAAATGTGGTCACTCAAATGTTGGTCGCATGTGCAGTGGATCCAACTCCCAGGCTTTCTGTCGGAGGACCCACTCTTGGTTGCCTTTGTTATTCCATTGTGTTTACCACACCAATGCATACTACATCCGTCCCAAAATATTGTCGCTTCCCTAATCCTGCTATAACTTTGCACGATCAACTCAATTAGTCAATTGCCAACAGATTTCGATTCTTTGGTCGATTCTGGGCTGATGCGGATCTTGCTTGTATTAGTCATTGCCATACAGCAAGCAACTCACCGCCCCATTAAAAGCGTCCCTGTCCATCTCTGTCAAGGCCTCAATTCTCCGTGGTTTTGCGTTAACGTTATCCTCGTATCTGCCAGCCTAGTTCTCTGGAATTATTCAAGAACCTGTTTGCAGGGAATAAATAGGCACTGCAAAACCTTACAAGGGTTTGGCACCACTGCAATCATATACTTTTTAAACCATCTCTTCCGCTACGCTGACTCATATATTCGAAGTTTTCGGTTTCCACCAATGGCGGTGTTGGCACCAAACTAGGCCGTTTGGAATTAGCATCAGCATGAGCGGCCTTCCTAAGCTTGGTGCGTCAGCTAAATCAAAGCTCTTGCACTAATTTAGGTGTCTCTTCGCCTTTGGCCACAATACACACACAATTCTTGTTGACACCCAGAAATCTGTCGCAAACCTATATGGTTTGCTCTGCCGATTCTGCTTTGAATTTACCCGCACCTTCAGCGCATACCACGCCACCAGTTCAGCTATCTTTTCCAGAGACAGCTCAGCTCGATCAGCCTTCTTTGAAGGGCAAGACGAGATCGCCATTCTGCTACCGGGGTCCTAACAAAACAAAAATTTGCGCTTCAGCTTCTCCTCACCTACCTCAAAAAAGGCGACTCCATTGGCTACGTTTGAGGGCTCTGTGGATAGCTCTCAATGACGCGCATCGATGTTGTTATGGTCGGATCTTCTTACTCTTAGGTTGTGACCTTCATTTGCTCGAATTGGGGAAGCGATAACACTTTGGGGACAGAGGTAGTGTTGCCAATACTACACCATCAATAAATAGAAATGTTTGCACATGGCAATAATACTACGGTTTTAGCAAACTGCAATTAAGGCAAATCCGGGTGTATTGGCATACTCTTGGAATACTGCATTTGGTATATTAATCAACCAGATTATACACAAGTACCGGTACACTATTTCATTAGCATATAGCTGCATTCGTAATTTTGTTACACTGCCCTACATTTTTATTTATTTGACTTGCGTTACTTTCCTTACCTGCTGTACTGTACGTTACTTTGCTTAGCCCACATTACTTTTGTAGTACATTAGTACCGTTTCTGATGATCGCCTCGCTGCCATGCGTGCGCAGGCTGTCCATTCCCGCCAACGAGGGCTGCAGGGTCAGCGTGGGCGTCGCCCGTCCGGCGTGCCCCGAGGCCATGACGCCATCGGTGGACGTGTTGGCGCTGCCGCGGGAAGCTGCTGAGGAGGTGTGCCAGCTGTTCGAGAGGATGGTGGCGGGCGTGCAGAGATGCGGGGGGGAGGGCCCAGCGCCGGAGCTGTACGGGGACCAGCAAGATGTGAGGGTGCGGACGCGGCGAAGTGCGACTTTGCGGGAATTTGGCAGATGCGCGACGTCGTGACACGAGGAGAACACGCCATTTCACAAGTGAAAATCGCCATTTTGCACCGTGCACAACTGTGCTGAATGATGTGAAAATCGCGCAAAAATCAGGCCGTTTGGAAAGGTGGTCCACCTTCGTGTACTTGCACAGGTCTAAAAACTGTACTATTTGGCAATCGTGTGCTCTGCAGAGGAGTTTGGAACCGTCCGCCGCGGCGGCGACCGGCCCCAGTTCTTGCCGACCGGCAATGTTCCGCCCCCGGCTCGCCATCGGTCGGCAGTCTACCAGGGCCCGGTTTATCGCCAGCCGGTGGCATACCGCGCCCGGTTCATTGCCGGGTCTTTGCCGGTCGGCCGTGTACCGGGACCCGGTACGCCACCAGCCCAATGCCTCGCCTTCGCGCCACCGGCCGCACCATAGCACACGGTTGCAGTGCGGCCTTGGCGGCCGAGGCGGGGGAGGTGGCCGAGGCGGCGGCGGCGGCGGCGGCGGCGGCGGTGGCGGCGGTGGCGGTGGGGGCGGCGGGGCCGGCGGGGGCGGTAGGGGTGGCGGGGGCGGGCGGGGGCGGCGGGGGCTGAGGGGACGGCCGGACAGGGGTTGCCTTGGGGCCCACCGCCACCACCGCCTCTGCCGCCCCGGCCGCCCCCCCCCCCCCCCGCCTTGGTCGGACAGGGGCTTGCCTTGGGGCCCGCCGCTCCCGCCCCCGCCGCCCCCGCCACCCCGCCGCCCCCGCCGCCCCCGCCGCCTCCCCCGCCTTGGCCGGACAGGGGTTGCCTTGAGGCCCAACGGCTCGGCCGCAGGGGTGAGTCGGGCCCTGGCCCCGGTACACCACCGGCCAGTGGCGTACCGGGTCCCGGTACGCTGCCGGCCGGCGCCGTTCCGGGTCCCGGTACGCCGCCGGTCGGCAGCCTACCGGGGCCCGGTGCGCCACCCGCCGGCACTGTTCCGGGGCCGGCCCGGGCCCCGTGCCGCCGCTGCCACCGTTGCCGCCGCCGTCGCCGCCATCGCCGCCGCCCGGGCGCCGCCTCGGCACCGGGTTGTGGACCGCTCTCGTGCTCTGTTGATCGGTACACTATTGGTGCACGATTTTGCTCGAACAACACGATACTCGATTTTCAGGATCGCCGCTTTGGCCGAGCTTTTGCTAGCGCTTTGCGACGTTAGCTGCGATGCAATTTTCACACTGTCGCCACCACAGTAATAGCGTTGGTACAGAAATGGCTTGCGGTTGTGTTGATTTGTTTACACTAGCGTCAAAAAGCTCCTCAGTTTGGCGTCGCCAAAATGTCGTTTTCTCCTGGTGTGTCTGTGCGCGTTTGCTGTGGAACTGTGTGAATGGGCGCGTGTCACGTGGTCGTTGTATGGTTGTGGATGTCGGGCAATTGTGTTGCCTGTTGATTGTGTGGCCTGCATCAATGCAGGCCACAGGTGTGTATTGCATAATGCATCAGTGAGAATCGGGTTTCCATGCCTTCAATTTTTTGCACTGGAACGCGAACGACGCAGATCATGCATGAAAGTGTGGCCTGCATGTAGTACGGACCAATTAAATAGATTGCTTATTGTTCATATTGACGTACTATAGCACAACCATTGACATATAATATGGGCAATCTTGTGACGTTTCCGTGTCAATTTCCACAATGCAACGGCATCCAATGCGTGGAACAGAATGCAAGGATGAGACTGCAGTGGGGCGACCCATCGCCGAGGATGGTGCTTTATGTATGCACCTTGCGTCTTGCAATGTCTTACGTGTTACTTTATATCTCATACGGTGTCGTATATCTTATGTATGGCGTCTTATGGCGGCTATGTTATGGCAAGATTAGTCGCAAAGAGAGAAAGGAACGGGTCACGCAAAGGGCACCCCCTCCTGAGCAAGAAGAGTACGCGAGACTCTTTTCCATGCTGCAAAAAGACGATGCAGACCCTCCGATGTCCATGTTGCGGTTTCTAATAATTAGCGTCGTTGTTGCCTAAAACGAGTCGGCAGCTGACCCCCATCGCCCCGCGCAGGTTCCGGAAGCTTCCGCCATCCGGACCTGCCCTCCTTCGGACGCCGCCGGGCCGCGCGAGGTCGCCTGGGGCACTCACTTCCGCCCCTTCAGCCTGGACTTCGCCTCCGTCCTCCAGGACCTGTCCTCGGGCAGCGAGAGCACCGGCGAGCAGCGCTCCTTTCTGGCGCACTACCTGCTGCGCAACCGCCTGTGGTGCACGGCGTCCTTCCTGCTGACCAGGTGCCTGTGCTGCGGGGCGCCCGTCACCTTAGGCCCGTTCTCCCTCTCGTTGGAGGACCTGGAGGCCAGCAGGCTGCGGACAGACTTCTACGGCGGGGCGTGCGCGGCAGGGGTGCAGGTGGGCCAGATGGTGCCGGAGGACACGGCGGCACTGCTGGTGATGTGATGTGTGCGCTGCACGGGCAGGCAAGGTTGAGGGTACGGGATGAAGGCCGAGGATGTGTGTTGACGTGAAGGGATCCGTGTTGAGCATCAGGATGAGCACAGTGCTGGGGATGGGATGGAATCCTGGTTGGGTATATGTGCTGAAGGGATGGGACCTGGGATTGCCGGTGCTGTGATGAGTGCCCTGCATGACGTGGCATGGGATGGGATCCAGTTTAGGATAGTGCGCTTTTGAGCATTGCTGAGCACCCTGCAGCTCTGCTGATGCTGTGATAAAAACCTTGCATGGTATGACATGGGATGGCATGGTATGTTATGGATCCCACACTTGGATGCGGCGCTTTTGAGCATTGCTGAGCGTGCTGCTGCTCTAGCAATGGGTTGGGGATGGGGATAGAGGCTGGGAGGGGGAGGGGGAAGGGGGGGTCGGGAGGAAGGAGGGGCGCTATGGAGGGTTGATTTGGAAATTGCTGCTCTGCTGTTCGTGTGATGGGCGGGGCAGGGTCTAGGTTGGCGATGGGTGGTGGTTGTGCTGCTGATGGCTGTGGTGGGTGTGAATTCTTTTGGTTAGTTTTGTCAACAACGCATGGACCCCTGCAGTTTGGAGGCGATGACATAGTGATGTTCTTTTGTGAATTCGCTGTTAGAATTGCCCACAATGCGTGACAAATCAAGGCCCTTGCACCTGGGGAGGCAGTGACGTGGTGCTGGACAGTGAGCGGAAGAGAGAAGCGGTGTCTGGCAGGAAGTGTGGCAGAAGAAAGAGGCGAAGAATGTGATGAGCGGGGGGTGTGCGGAGCGCCGCTGAGGGACGCTGTGGTCAGCTGAGCTGGGTATGCGCGGAACGGTGAAGAAGCTGCGATAGTGAAGAAGCTGGAGAGGAGCTCGAGAACGTTGTCTGATAGATGTCGGGGCATTGGGGGGTGGCCACAATTTGGGAAAATTCGAAGGACGCGTTGTGAGAATTGGGCGCTGCGGGCGCCATCAGGGGGCAGAATTGCACCAGCAAGAACTTATACATCGTATGGAGACATGCGCAAGACCTTGTACAGCAGCAAAGTACTGTTTAGTAGCACTGCGATACAGGCCACGTGTTTTCTGGGATCATAGAGGCCTGGTGTGGAGCGGCAACTCGCCACCCGACGGTTCTAGTCTGGCGAAGGAGATTGCGAGTCCACAGCATTCGGCGACAGCCGACAGGAGTGAGCCCAAATTCAACGGTGGCTGATGCCGCGATGCGTGCTTGGCGCCGCTGCGGCGCCATGCATAGCATCTTAATTATATCATTAGTCGTTGGCCGCTTGTGGCGCGGCAGGCCTTAGTTTGCTTCAAGAACTCAATGTTAACGAACGGATAGCGGGGGAGCAGCTAACCGAATATTAATGGAGGCTGATCGAAATCTAAATGGAGGTTGATGGGGGGTTTGGTGCCTCATGGAGCTTTCCGCGGCGCCTTAGTTTGGGGTCGATTCGCGATTTCTTAGTAAGCGGTCACTGGGAGAAAAGTGGTGGTGGTCTGCTGCAAGCACCGATTTTGAGCAGCGGAAGGAGCGGGCAAAGGGCTTGTGGCCTTTTGATGAATATTGGCGCCTTGGGCACCCTCTGGGGAAAAGGCGGTACTAGGCTTGGTACATTGCGGCAACTAGTTGTATCAGCTTTTTTTGAAATTATGACCGTGGCATGTGCTTGCTGGCGGGCATTCCATGGTCATATATAGAGAAACCAAATTTGATAAGAACACGGTCGATCCCCGAACTGCTGTCTTGATTCAAACGCCGGCCGGACGTGGGTTGGGGATCAGGGCCGTGTGGGCCCGGCTAGCGCTTCGACCTGATGATTGTTTAGGATTGGAATTCTGAATCCAAACGCATTTATACTGTCAAGGTGTTTACATTCAAAATGATGTAATTTGGAGAGTGCGGCGTCGCCGCATGTGATGAGAAGGTCTCGGGGCGAGCCTGACGTTGGTAATGGGGGAGAGCTGCTACAATTCTCTCCGTGGATCTGGGAGATCCGATTGTAATTGCTATATGGCACTGCTGGCCACTGCCGCGAGGTTGCCCTTCGCGCACAATTCATGTATGACGACCACTGATGCGTTTATCCAGGCATATACCTGGATAACAATTATATATAATTGTGTATTTGTAGATGTTCGCATGGCCATCCAGTTAGAATTTCTTGTATATTCATGCACTTTGTGTTTCTTTAGCCGCCTTGAATTGCTGAATTTTGTGTACCAAAGGTTTGTGTGTTGTGTTGAAATGGGAGCCACGAATGTTCATTGGTACGCCTTGGTGCCAATTATTAAATGAGCTACACGCTAATAACACTCACGCGAACGCTAGATTGAACACCAAAGCACTAATTTGGCGTCTATTGGCCAGTCGCAGTCAACCCAACACGAAACAATCAGCGATTTCCTCTCAGCAGCCTGTGCTTGGGATGGGGAACGCGCCAACTGGACCAGGCCACAGGTTGGGCAAACTGCTCAGTCGACCAAACTGACATTCGTACATGCTGCGCATGCCCTGCCGCGCTAGACAGCACACTTCCAGCTGCTCGGCCCTGCTGATCGGTCAGCAACCGGTGGCTCGGCCACTTTTTGGAATGG